TATATATATATATATATATATATATATATTATTATTTACCAATAAATTCTTAAATTTTAGTTATTTTTCTTAAAACACAGAATAGTAAATAAAAATGATAGAACACAAGAATTTATGTTACAAAGTTTTTGTACTTGTGTCATATTTGCTAAACCTCTTCAAATTTCGTATATGGAGGATGTAAATAATATCATTTTTGTAGGTTTTATGTATGAATTTTAATTTAACAAAAAATTATAAATTGTAAATTATAATACCACAAAAATCCACTGTAATTTATTAGGCTTCCTAACTAAGCTGTATTTGAGTCTACAAAATCTAATTTTGGATCAGAATATCATCTTGATCATTGCTCTTCAACAGTTATAATGGCTTAACATAGTTCAAAATGAGAGCTTTAGATTGGTTATAAACATGTATGTAAGAGAAGAAGGTGTAGGGAAATAAGTAGTTTTAAAATAAGAAGAAATGGGTGGAGCCACTGTGGTGGATTCACTAAACATAATGATATCTCAGCAAAAAGAAAAGGTAGGAGGTTCTTATTTTATATTCTAGCTTGTCAATATTGGTAATTTGAGTTTATAATTGTAGACTTTACATTTCATGATGCCCACAATACAATCTGAGCAAATGTAAAAGACAAAGTACTGTGTGGCACACAAAAATATCAGTATTTAGCAGGTTTTTTTTAATACTTATTTTTGAACTAAGAAATTAAATAATACTAAAATTTGAATTACAAAGTACAATTTTATTCTACATTTATGGACATACTTTCATAAAATAGTAGTTTAATTCAATTTTGAATGCAAGTCTACAAAAATGTGATGACATGCTCTTTGATCTTTACCCAAATGTAAAGGTTTAAAATATTCATAATTTCAATCAATACATGAAATACACTGTTTTCCTGAAACTTTGAATAAATCAGTATTCATCAATCAGACAAAAAGATTCCTGAACAAAATAATAAACAGAAAAATACTTCATAAAATCAAATATAGCAACAAAAGATGTCAATATGAACTTTTTATGGATTATAAGTTATTTCTGTTACTTCATTGATAAAAACATGAAATTAGAAAGTTAGGAAGATGATTGTTTGTTTTTAATTATGCACAAGGGTTATCTGTGCTCTGCCCACCAAGGGTATCGAAACCCGGTTTCTAGCATCGTAAGTCCGCAGACATACCACTGTGCCACTGGGGGGCTAGAAAGATGAAGGGAAAACTAAACTTTATGCATAAAATCAGTGTTCAACAAAGTTTTAGGATTAAAATAAATCAACAGTGTTTGAATAACCTGATTAAAAGAAAAAAATGTCAGTCAGGTTAACCCTTTCAACTCGGACATTCTGGGTTGCATTTGAATGGAGAAAATTTGCAATATCAAATTTTGCAAAATTATATATCCCCACCAATTTTTTCTAAAATAAAATCATAACTGAAATGTTGAGATTTTAAACTTTCTTTTGATTAAGTTTTATTACTATTTAGTTCAGATAAAACAACTAAAAACAAAATTTGAATCTTTAACCTTCTTTTTGGAATTTTTATTCATGTAAAATAAATAAATTAATTTACCATCTGTGCAAACAACTTGTCAAAAGATGAAACAAAACTGGAAAATCATAAATTTAGAATGAATTTGAAGCTTACTTTTAGCTAAAATAGTTTAAAAACAGTGAAGTTTTGAAGTTGGTGGTGCCAAGAACTGAAAAATCAACTGTCCACACATTTTTTGTTATAACTTTGTTTCTGAAATTGCTAAAATAACAGATATATCTTCTGAAATTCCCATGGGAAAGTTAACGACTAGCTTGGATGAATTTGTAAACGCTCTTGTCGCATAGTTAGAAAGCCAGGAAATTTTTGAGAGGTAAGTGAATTTGTCTATTTTTGCATGTTATTAGTCTATATTCTTTGGTGCATTATTTAATTAAATAAAAATTGTCAAGTGCTTTACTATGATTAATATAAAAAAATTAGGCTTAACTCTCCTTGACAATCAAAGGCAAGAAAAAAGAAGATTGGGTAAGTACATTATTTCTTGTTTTCATATTTATTCTTTATTTATTATTATAAAAGTAATTAAAATTAAAAGTATGGATTTTTTTAAGTAATCTAAGACTAGAGTAGGTAAAATAAGTAATAATAACAATATAATGGTTCACAACACAAACACACACGAGCAGCTTGTGGGTAATGTAATTCAATAGCGTAATGTGAGCTGCACATTCACAGTGTGATTTACAACTTATAATGGAGTGGATAGTAGTTAGACATGGTTCAAAGGGCAATAAAACTATAAAATTTAATTATAAATAGATGTATACTGTTGTGAACTTAGAACTACTTAGGATAAACAAATGTAGTTTCATGTTACAATTTGAAGTCAAATATAGAAAGAAAAAAAAGAGGCTAATTTAGGTTTATTTAAATTTTATTTTTTGGTGGTTATGAGGTTGGTCGAATTGACTGATCCCGTTTTGAGATAGGTAGAGAAAATAACATATATAATAGAAGGATTTAGTGAAAAAAAAAACGTTTGAAATGCATTTAGGAGGTTTTAGGTATTACATAAAGGAAATTTTAGATTTTTGAGAAGACGAAAAGTATTTTTAATTTTAGTATGAAAATTACTTTGCACACAGACTATTCAAAACAAATACTAAATATATTCATGAAAAAATTTTTGTTTTGTTAAAAATACTTCACCAAGAAACGTGACTTCTTGTATGTGAAAGACATGTAATATTAACTGAAAGACTGCCAAATTTTGTGAAGATATACTCAATATATTGAGAGTTATAAGTATTAAATTTATAAAGACTTTAAATGAGTACAAAAGGTCAAGTGACCCTGTCAAATTGACCGACCGTGTTGAGAGAGTTAATATACCACACTGACTTTTGTTCCTCCTAACAATATTAATAAGGTTTGATAATATACAACCCCTTGAACAACCTAAATGGAATTGACCATGTTAAAAGCGAGGCTTTAAAGTTTGGCCTTGTGCCTTGTAATTGACACTGCAAAACAACTTGTAATTGGGAATTGGAGCCTTCTAAATTCACAAGGGTAATCACTTGGTAGCAAAGGAATTTTTGGAATGAAGACATCTTCACCTCTGGCATGATCAGTTGCTTCAATAACATGTGACAGTAAAGTCTTAACAACTAAACTTGTACTATTATTTAATTTCGTAGGAGCAAGATTTCTCAACGTTATTAGTGAACCAACCTTTAATTTCAGAATGTGACCTGGCATTCCTGGTGGTTCAAGAGAATTTAGAAATTCAGTTGGGTAATTTACAGCATTAACTGTAACTGGAACATTGACAATTGAGCTGTAGGTGAATTCCCATCTGGGAACCATTTGCAATAATCAGAGATGAAAGTGTCCCTTTCCTTAAAATCCTGAAAATAATCGAAGCCAAGTAAGGGGGGGGTCCGGCACCCAAAATCCTGCATTTTGATGCATTTTAGTACATAAAATTCACTTAAACAAATTACCCCATTTTTCTTACATCAATGATTATCAAATACATGTGAGAAATAACAAATCTGATTCCCCTAGTTAATGGATAATTTTCAAGAGTGCATTCTTTGAAATTCATAATTTTCACTATTGGATGTCAAAACTTATAAAGTAATGCTTTTATAACTTACACTCAGTACTGCAAATGTGTTTTTGAAATGTGTATGATTCAACTGAGACTAAATAGTTCACACTATTATGAAATTGAATAGATTCATTATTAAAACATTGCTAAAAATAAATCAGACATATATTTATTGTAAAATCAAACTCATTCGCCTAATGTAAATAAACCGCGCGATTGCATAAACGTTTATCTATGGCATGGAACACCCAAATCCGATAAATAATTTTAAAAAATGTGTTTCTCCGGAAGAAAAACGGAGGTTTCAGAATTTTTTTAGAGATATCCGGAAGACTTTCATTATTAAATAATTGATCATTTATGTCACGAACAGTATCATTTCAAGATGCAAGAATTGGTCTTTTACACAACAATTAATAATTTTCACAAATATTAGGGAATACTTTTTCCTTTAGCTCTTCTGCATCCTTAACTAAGTTGCCACATTTATCTGGAATAGTAATGTAATTGTTTGATTGGAAGCTTTTCAACACTAACTTAAGAAGAAGTTTCCGCTTTTATATTACCAAAGTTACTGAAAACAGAAAAAATTAAAATAAACCACAAATTAACGTGTACATTATGCATTCAACATAAACAACATTGTTGTCCTAACAACAATATTGTGATACTTGTATTCCTAAGAAACGATGTATAGTGTTGAGTATTACAAAAAAAAAAGAGCACGACACAAAGACAGAAACTGGATTAATAGCCAAAAATTAGTTTTTGTTATTTCTGGGGACCTTAGGAGTTACCATGCCAAGTTTGGTGATGATTGGTCAAATAGTGTGTGGGAATTAGCAGACAAACATACAATTTTACTTTTATATATACAGATTAACTTTTATCAATTAAAGGTCAAAGTTGGCATTGAAAGAGTTAAGGAAAACTAAACTGGTCCACCTTTTATACCTAATTATATTCTAATATCTATTTAACCAAATCCTTTTGCAGTTATAAAGAAACTCAAGTTACAATACACAGACAGATTCTTTGTTAACACTAAACTATAAACTGAAGTACACATTTAAGAAATCTTTGAAAAATATCTCCCACTTGTATTTTATAACTCTTAAAGAGTAAAACCAAAATACAACCACAAAAATCACTAAGCTTGATTTAATTAAATTAAATTTAACCAATGATTAATGACTACTGTTAGAAGTCCTGGAAGGAATTTCATTGTCTGTGAAAAATATCATGCACTTTCACGTTACTAGAATGGAAACAAAAACATAAACAAAGCTTTAACCTCATGTGAACAGCACTGGTACATTGTACCAGCCCCACATTTCTGTGAATCTATAAATAGTAATTCTTATTATAATTCCAAATTTACAAAATGTATCTTAACAAAAGATCTATCTATGAATTTACAGAGTCAGTCTTGACAAATCTGAATGCAAGATTTTCATGCTAAGAATAAAAAATATTTTTCATCTTATAGTCATCATATTTCATTTGCATAACCTCTAAAGTCTCCTAAATGAATACGAAAAGTCTTTCCTCAGTAAGTAACTGTAGTGAAATCAGAAATGTAGGGTAAAGTTGAAAAAAAAAAAATCTAAGTTGCTTTTTTCCTTCTTTCAAATAACTGTTACAATGATTGCATAATGTAACATACAACTACATTTTTTCTTATGATCATGGTTAATACTTTTCAAATATGGGTTCATTTAGTTTTATCACTTTTCAGCTGAGCTTAAGACCTTCTCATAATATGCTAAAAGCCATTTATCACAGTGGAACAGCTTTGTGTAAAAAGGACCGATCACAAGCATATAATGGTCATATTACAACCAATACTGTGATAAGGTCATGCTATGGTAAAGAATCACACTTAATTCTTTAACCCTATCACTACAGCTTTCCTTTACTGCGCATAACACAAGGTTTAGCATCTTACATTCACAATTTTTTAAACTACTTTTTCTTTATGTCATACCAATTAGAATAGCATAAAGTCTTAACTAATAATCCATATTTAATAGTATACAAGTTTTAAGTTCTTAATTCTACAAGGCAATATTAAAAAAAAAAAAATCCCGAAATTCTCCTAGTGTGACCCACGTGACACATTTTCTCTTAAGATGTCATCTTCCCCATTTTATCCACCACCCCTCAAAAAAGTATGAAATTAAACATAAATTATTCTCTATAAAATCATCATTGCTTAGACAAACCATAATTTTTATATTTTTCAATTTTGTTTGGTTACAGTTATCAAATAGAAAATCAAAACCCTCCTGCTACGCCTACCTGTCACATCCTCTTTTTCAGAATTCATTAATAGTTTTCTCTTACGTTTCATTATATATTACCTACAACCAATAGAAAGTCAAGGTTTTCATTTATCAAATGATGTCTTGTATAACAATATGTTCTAAACGGTTAAATGTCAATTTCACTCAAGTACCAACATCGTTCCTATGAGAAAGTTAACACTACCTTGGATGAATTTGTAACGATTCTTTTCGCTTAGTTAGAAAGCCAGAAAAATTTTTAGAGGTAAGGGAATTTGTCTACTTTTTGCATGTTATTTATTCTGTATTGTTTGGTGCATTATTTAATTAAATAAAAATTATTAAGTGCATTACTATCCTTAGTATAAAAAATTAGGGTTAACTCTCCTCAACAATTGACAGCAAGAAAAAAGAAGATTGTTTAAGTATTTTACTTCTTGTTTTTCGTGTTTATTCTTTAAGTATAATTATAAAAATAAGGATCCTTTTAGGTTAGTTAAGATTAGATTAGGTAAAATAAATAATAATAATATCATAATAAAAATGTTTCACGAGTCATACACAAACAGCTCATAGTAGCTTGTGGGTAACGTAATTCGTTAGCGTAACATGAGCTACATGTTCCCAGAGTGATTTACAACTTATTATGGCACGAATAGTAGTTAGTCATGGTTCAAAGTGCAATAAAACAATAAAATGTAATTATAAATATATGTATACTGTTACAAACTTAGAGCTACTTAAGATAAACGAATGTAGTTTCATGTTACAATTTGAAGTCATTCTACAAAGAAAAAAGGGTAATTTAGATTTTAGATTTGTTTTGGTGGTTACGAGGTGGGTCAAATTGACGGATTCCATTTGGGGATAGGGTAGAGAAAATAACAGATAAAATATAAAGTTTTACTGAAAAAAAAGTTTGAAATGCATTGAGGAGGTTTTAGAGATTACATTATATTGAAAGTTAGGAGTATTAAATCTATAAAGACTTTAAACGAGTACAAAGAGGTCATGTGGTCAGTCAAATTGACCGATCCCGTATTGAGAGAGTTAATTTAATTTTTGCATTTAAGATTCTTTATCTAACCTAAAAAATTTATAATTTTTACATTTTAGTTACTTTTATAATACAATAAATAAAAAACATACATAAAAAACAAGAGATATTTAGTATTTATATCTGGAGTTGAAGCTTTCTGTTATCAAAAGATGAAACACTGTAAGCCTAGTTTTTTTTAGTAAAAATTTTGGTGTTTCAAAATATTATTTAGAATATGCAGTTTAAAAAAAAACATGATCACACTTAAAAAACATAATGCTGCAAAACAACTGTAATTTAACTGGTTTTCTAACTAAGCTATAAATGGGTTAAAAAAATTCTGTTAGCTGGTAAAGACAAACACTACATAGGAAACAATGAAACTGAGGACAGATATTTCCAAATTTGGCTCTTAAATAATTTAGTAGAGCAAATTATTCTCTGTATATTGGTTATAAATAATCCAATACCAAATAACAGAGAGAATGCTGATATTTCTTGAAAGACTGGATGTGATAGGAGGGGCATAGCATGTGGTATATAAATTTAGATTATGAGTAATGTAATTTGCCCCAAACTTAGAAGATCACATAGGAGTAAAAAGAAACTCAAAAATGGGTAACTCGGAGCAAAGAAGTGTTATGTGATACCAGTGGCAGCGACAGAACCAAAAATTTGGGTGGGCAAAACAAGATATCTTATACTTACATGTAATTTTAAAGTGACTCATTATACCCCCCCCCCCCAAATATTAGCATGCTAAATTACACTGAGTTTAAAAAAGTACTTTGTATTGAGTTTTAAAGCCCCAAAGACCTTGGAAAGCATCAAAAGATTTTTTAACATTCTACCATATCTAGCAAACTTATTTTAGGGGTGGTGGAATAATGAGTCCCTTTAATTATTTAGTACAATATAAAAAAGTAGAGTCAAAGGGAATACCTATTATTGTAGAATATATCTGATTAATTTCTAGCACAAAAGAAAAAAATCTTGTAAAATAGTTGTGTGAACATGTTTTCGTCTTATACACATTATACTCGTTCTATGTGTATGGGATTCAATGTGAGGGGGGGGGGCGCAAATTGGGGAGAGCAAGAGAAAATGTAGGTGGACACATGCCTACTTGATCCCTGTAGTGCCGCCACTGCATGATCCACAAAAGTGAAAGTTGAGAACTTATTTAAATTTCTTAAAAAATAAATCTGACATATTAAAATTTGAATTATAAACAATGTTTTAATGTCAAGTTTATTAAAATACATACAATAATAAAGTTGTTTAATTAAATATTGAATGTTATTCTGTAAAAAAGGTTGTAACATGCTCACATAGAACCTCTCATATTATTTAGGTAAATAATCTTCACAATTAATTTACAAATGAAATAATTCCCTGTAAAATTACGTTCATAATCTTACCATGTCTTCATCAGTTTCCAGTGTAGTTTTGAAGATGTCACCTTGCTCTGTTTGAGCTAAGAAGAAGAACATCGACTGCAAATACCCAAAAAATGCACAATTCAAAGCATCTTTTGAAACAACCAAGATTTTCCTAGCATATTCTAATGAAAAGGACATCAAGATAAAATAATTATCTTTTTGAAAAGAAAAATTACTGATATCTTCAAAACTATAGATCTTTCTTTGAAAACTGGTCAAAGCTTTTTTCATTTGGTGAATATACCTTGTTAACACTTAATATGATAATCCTTTAAAACAATCAAAAATCCATCAGCAGTGAATAAAATATCAGTGAATAATAAACTATCCTACAGTGTTAATCAAGAGACGATAAAATATTGGTAAATAATAAACTATCCTACAGTGTTAATCAACAGAGGATAAAATATCAGTGAATAATAAACTATCCTACAGTGTTAATCAACAGAGGATAAAATATCAGTGAATAAACTATCCTACAGTGTTAATCAACAGAGGATAAAATATCAGTGAATAATAAACTATCCTACAGTGTTAATCAACAGAGGATAAAATATCAGTGAATAAACTATCCTACAGTGTTAATCAACAGAGGATAAAATATCAGCGAATAAACTATCCTACAGTGTTAATCAACAGAGGATAAAATATTGGTAAATACAGGATATACATATATGATCATAGTATCATACAAAACACACAAGTCTCATCATCTGATACAAATCTAGCCCACATGTAACTGAAATACAATTTTTGCTTGTATATTTCACATTCTATTTCACAAATATCAAGTTAATGCTCAATTATGTAATTTACGTACACTTGTTAATATACTCTTTCCAGTCACACATTTTTGATACATTAATCACCCCTGTGTGGACATAATTACACCTAAGAATGCCTTAGCCATAAGCTTTGAAATATTATGGAATTCAAACTTACTTTAGTTTTATGAGTTGCACTACAAACAAAAATCATCCCTCTCTCTGGATCATCCAAGTCATTCTATTCAGGAGAAAGATAAAATCATATACGCAAGTTTGCCTTTTACAACATGTATCAGTCCAAGTAAACTTCTGTAATTCTACATCACAATTTTATTTGCAGTTATATTCACAATACTCGTAGAAATCACATTTTGAATGCAGAATAAGCTTATTTTCTCATGGGAAATTCTTAAAATCCCATGTGTTTTTTAGTAGAAATCAAACTTATAGTACTGACAGGAAGTTCCCATTATTCACCAATTTTTCTAGAACACAATAAGAACCAATAAACATAAATGTGGGTACACAAATGCATATACACACATCTGTGAAAGTACTGAGTATGATCTACTGATTTTCTCTACAATATTTCAATAAATCTCAGGCAGTTAGAAACAAACTTTGGACATTAATATGTTTTTCTTTTTATTAAAAAAAAATTATTATTATTATACCAACATGTTATAATAATGACCACAGGACATGTACAGTGGCATCTATGGCTCTACCCAACAGAAATACTTCTGCATAAGCATTGTAGCCAACACCTGTGTTGTGAGTTGATAGTGTTGAATGGTATTTTCCCCATCAGATACCCAAGAAGCATGAATAAATTTATTAAAAAATTTCAAATTCCTGATATTTCACATAAAGGCAAAGTGACATTGCTTGAAAGACAGAAGAAGTTTAAGAGTAAGTGTTATGTTGATGGGAATAGGCCAGTTTGCAAAGTATGCAATACTGCTCTAGACTATACTAGAATTTCTATCATCACTGACTACTTGGTTTCAAAGAAGAATTTGAAGTGTGAGCAACTTTCTGACAAAAGCCCAGCTAAGATGCAAAAAGACTCCACAACACTGGAATCTTCATCCACAGATTATACAAGGGAGAAAACTGCCATGTGCCAGGAGTGGGTGAGTTGCAATATTCACTTATCAAAAACTGATCATCTATCTACAAAATAGTTTCTAGATAAGCATGTCAAGAATGGTAGTGCAATCCCAATAGCCTAAAGCCTTCAAGGTAGCTACCTACATGATTGTATGATGTCGAAAGAAATGAACTAAAGGAATCATTTAATGGCAAACCAGTTGCAAACATCTTTGATGTACTGTCCAATAATGAAGGCAGATTTGTCGTAAATGAGCTTCTTGGCCCCTGGGAGTTGGATGGCACATGAAAGGTGTTGACATGTATTGCAGACAGTCTTCCTAGAAAATGCAAACCACTCACAACAGTATCACAAGCTGTCATGAAGGTGATACAGAACAATGAAATCCCTTTTGACCACATCATAATCTTCGATACAGAAAATGTTGCCTATATGAAGATGACTTACGACTTGTTTCCCAACTCAATTCACATCACTTGTTTGGGCCACATCCATAGTTTGATTAGGCAAGCATTCACATAATCATTCAGTGATATCACAGACTTCATGAAAAAGTTGACTGCTATTTTCTTCCATGCAACAGCCTGTAAAGGATCCTACCCTAGAAACCTGCAAACCACAGAACCCAATAAGAAGGTCACAATGCCAACAAATCTTTGCACTACTCAATAGAATAGTTGTTCAGAGAAGCAACATGTCACTCTTCTCACTTCCATCTGTATGCTGAATTAATTACCCCACAGAGATGCAGCAAAACTCGAACAATCCACCTCCATCATTCAAAGCACTGAAAACATCTTCAATGATAATTTATAAGATCCAGCCTGTTTGTGCAGTTGCTGATCATAATTGAAAATGTAAACAAATAACTTACTACATTGACTACTTCCATAGCAGAAAGCCATGCACACTGAAAACATATGAAGCCTTGGAACACCTGCAAATCTACTTTGAAAGCAACAAGTGCATGTCATATCAAGTAAGCCATTCCAAAGTGAGGAGTGTGATGACATGAGCACTGCTGATAAACAACTAAGTATTGCAGTATTTGAAGAAGCTATGGATAAGGCTTCAGAAAAGCTTCAAAAGTATATGAGTGAAAATCAAGATGATCAACTAGGGATAAATTCTTGAAGCAGGTTCACACCTTCAACCCTTCAGCTGTTCTACTGATATCTCTAGATTTGTAGATGTCCTCAATTATAAGCTTCTTCTCTACACTGAAATATTTGCTTCAGATGTAGTAACTGCTTCAAATTCTGGCCCTGATCCAAAAGGTGTTGATGTCAGCCTTTTCTGGTCTGCCACTGGAGACCAAGTTCCACATACCAATACCTTTTCCATGAAATACATGTATGTCATTACAAATTCTGCAGATGAAGAAAGGTCCTTCAGTATTTACAACCTTGTTATGCCTGGGATAAGGTGATCTCTTAGCCAAACTGCCATGAGCTGATGAGAATGTTGCAGAGATAGTGCAACACAATAAGTATTTACTTTCTGTTCAGTCTGACCTGCCACAATTAAATGAACTTGCAATGGAACTGGATGTAAGGCTATAAAATAGTAAGGTGAATGACCTTGATTGGGATCAAGAACTGTTATATTTTGCAATTAAGCAATCTTTGTTTTTCCTGAATTACATTCACACCATTCATCACTGAGTAATTTGACAACAATGCATAGAAATTTTATAACAAATATAACTCAATATACATGAAATAAAGAGTACAGACATTTTATTAATAAATAATAATACAATTTACACAAGATAAGGGCTTGGTTCCCATTGATCTTAACCCAATGACTACCGGTACTAACTTTCTTAGTAGGCAATGCAAGTGTGCATTTGTGAATTGAAAAAATGAT